GAAACCCCAAACCATAATTGCTGCTTTCCTTCTGCAGCTTGGGTTACTGGCCGGGGCTGAGGGCCGGCCGAGGGCTGTTTCTTTTTTGACTACTGTTTCCCTGCAGTTTGAAGATGACTCGAGGGATGAAAAAAGACCTAGGAGCAATCAAGATAGGCTGAGTTGGGGAGTGGGGCTGTGGAGGGGGGGGGGGGACCGCAGAGGGGGCTGTGGGAGGGGGCTGTTGGAAGAGGGGAGCCCTGCAGAGGGGGGGCTGTTGGAGGGGGGGAGCCCTGCAGAGGGGGGCTGTGGGAGGAGGGGAGCCCTGCAGGGGAGGGGCTGTGGGAGGAGGAGAACCCTGCAGGGGAGGGCTGTGGGGGGAGGGGAGCCCTGCAGGTGAGGGGCTGTAGGGGGAGGGGAGCACAAGCGGAGGTTCAAGAGTGAGAAGAGCATGCTGGGTAGGTAGGAAGATGAAGAATTCTGAAACTGGTAGAAGTGGCTGCTTTGAGCTCTTCTGAGCCCACTGGTCAACTCTTTCCCCAACCTCGCATCATTTAAATCAAGGCTCCTAGGCTATGAGTAACATTTTTTCAGCATTTGAAAACCATCAGTTCAAATCTGAGTTCCATAGCACATGACCGTCCAGGATCTGACCCTGCTCACTATCCCAGGCTATCCCATCCGCTCCTCCCTCCTCCCGTCAAACTTGTTGACAAAGTAATTCCCAACCTGCTGCTCTTGCTAAAACCTGGCAAGTTTCCTGGAGAGGCTGGGCTTGCAGAAAACTTGGATGACACTTCATGCCACTTTATTTACCATCTTCCTCTTTGCCAAACTCTCTTCCTATTCTGGGCTTCCGAGATTAGAGGTGAAGCTCAGGCTTTCCTACAAGTTAAGGTTTTGTGCTCTGCCCAAGAGACTCAGCAAACCTGCCTGGGCTGCTCTGACAGAGACCCAGACAGTGGTTAGTCTACACAGCAACCTCTGTCTGAGGCTGGGATGTCCAGGGCCAAGAGGCCACGCGGATGGCCCCTGCTGAGGGTTGTCTTAGGGCACTGCTGCTCTCATTGCAGAGGGAAGGAGCAGGGCTCTCCTTTCTCCCTTTCCCTGACCCCATTCCTGAGGATGACCTGAGCACCTCCCGAATGCCCCACCTTCAACTACCACACACTGGCTTCAACTTACGAAAAGGGTGGGGACACAAAGAGGTGCCTGTAATTTCATCATTGTGTTGGGTGGAAGTTATTTGCCCGGGGAGGCCCAAATTTTCACCCACCGTCCTGATCATCACAGGCATGTCTGGATCGGGAGCAGCGATACACCTTTAGAACCTCAGCACCAAGCGTTTATCACAAACTCACTCTCAGTATGCAAGTGAAACAGAGTTCTCCCTGCCTTTCTTTTATTTATACAACAAGATATTTTCTTGTAATAAGGTTCCATAATATTGAGAAACAGTCCAACATATTCCAAGGCCATTTTTTAAAATGCCCAGAAATTATATGCACGTTAATACACAAGACTTGTCTTTCTCTTTAAATCGTTTAAGCCCAGAAATATGCTCAATAGATGGATTATTTTATTATTCCTTTCTTTGAGTTTCCTCATGAGAGAATTTTATAAAGATTTGGGGGCAAGAGAATAAACACAAAAGGAGGAAATCAAAGGGAGGTCGAGAGAAAACAAAATGCTGGTCTTCATTTAGTTATCTGGTTTGGCAATTTCAAATGTCTTTTGTAAAATAAAATAACGTCTTTTTTTAGGAACAAAGTGAGTTCATGAATAATAATTCCAGTGAACAGGTCCTATACGCCGACCCTGTGATTACAGAGATAGAAATCTTTCTCCCAGCACACAAGCCCACAGACCACAAGCAGGAAAGGAGTATGGACTCTCTGGAGACCAGAGGTTACCTGCAAAATCCGCTGTTGGCCAGCACGACAGTTGTGTATCTTCCTGACCTCAACCCTGGATATAAACCCCAGATTTCACACTTTTGCCCTGGGGAAAACCGTCTCCTCAATAGTGATGAAATAGATTCCTCAACTTTTAAACCACCAGCTGATTCCTTAGACCTGGGGAAGAATCCAAGCTTAAAACAATACCCTAATTTCTCCTTTTCCATCTCAAGTATGAATTCACCAAGCAACACGCTGTTTCTTGAAGAATTAAGCCTCATTGTAAATCCAGGAGAATGCAGTCCTCCTGACCCAGAAAGCTCAGTCCAGGGAGACACCACTGCACTTTTGGAGAACGCGCCAGCTGGTGAGACTGTTCCAGAACAGACCCTGCTGCCTGACGAATTCGTCTCCTGTCTGGGGCTCATAAATGAGGAGTTGCCATCTATTAATTCTTATTTTCCACAAAATATTTTGGAAAGCCATTTCAGTAGGATTTCACTCTTGGAAAAGTAGAGCTGTGTGGTGAAAATCAAGATGGGAACTCAGTTCGGCGTCTGTGGCTCAAGTGGCTAAGGCGCCAGCCACGTACACCTAAGGTGGTGGGTTTGAAACCAGCCTGGGCCCACCAAACAACAACGACGGCTGCAACCAAAAGAATATGCAGGCATTGTGGTGGGCGCCTGTGGCCCCAGCTACTTGGGAGGCTGAGGCAGGAGACTTGCTTGAGTCCAGGAGTTAGAGGTTGCTGTGAGCTGTGATGCCACAGCACTCTACCCAGGGGGAGAGCTTGAGGCTTTGTCTCAAAAAAAAGAAAAAGATGGGAACGCCGCCCTTCAGTCAGAAGCTGGATCTTTCCCTCGGCAGAAATTGAACTCTGCCCTCATTTTGCAAAATTAGAGACTAAGTATTCAGAGATGGAGCATGCTTCGTGGTTACACCACACACATTCACACGCTCACATGCACACATGCTCACACACTCTCCCACACTCTCCCACACACACACTCACGCTCACACACGCTCACACATGCTCACGCACTCACACACAGTCACCCACTCATACAGCATTATTAAGGACACCACCTGTATTTTTATAAATAAATATCACTATTTCTTCTCTATTTTCCCTCACTGACGGATGTAGAACAGGTCCCTCTGTTGTATAAAGAATAAATAACACAAAATGTGTGCTAGTAAAATAAATGGTGAAACCAGTTCTTTAAAAACAAAACATTAATATTTTCTTGCAAAGTGGGAAACAAGTTTAACTCTTCATTTTATCACTTAAAATTCTCTTGAGATAAAAATACAGCCACCAGCCACAAAACGAGGGCAGAGCCAGAGGAGTGGTGAGGTTTTCCTGCGTATCTGCTCCACCCTTCCTGTGCGGGTTTCGGGATTCGCTCTCCCCTTAGTGAGATTCGGGACTGAGAGCTGTGAAGCAGTGTGGGGGACGAGGCTGCTGTCTTCATTGACATTAAGAGCGATGGCCTTGGCTGGGCACGGTGGCTCATGCTTGTGATCCCAGCACTCTGAAAGGTTGAAGTGGGTGCATTGCTTGAGCTTAGGAATTCCAGTCTAGCCTGAACCAGAGCGACACCCCATCTCTATTAAAATACAAAAA